GCAGTCTAGGAGATTCGGGCCCCGCCCACACTCTGTTGTCTAGAAGATTCGGGCCCTGCCCACACTCTGCTGTCTAGGAGATTCGGTCCCCGCCCATACTCTGATGTCTAGGAGATTCGGGCCCCACCCACACTCTGCTGTCTAACATGCATACAAGTATCACACAGACAACAAGTATATCTATTTCTATCAAGCAGTCACATATCTATACTCAAATAATACTACGAGATTCGGGCCCCGCGCACACTCGGCTACTATAAGATTTGGGCCCCACCCACACTCGGCTACTAACATATCACATATACGGGCCGACCTTGGTGCCGTAGACTCGTTCCTACTAAAGGAAACTCACCTCGCAAAGCTTACTGCTGAAATCTCGAGTGAGGAATCTCCGACGGCTGCTCCAACGACTCCCCGACTATTATTTTCACAGTAATACTTAGTCAAAACCTAATAATCCTCCTTAGGGTAAAATGACCATTTTACCCCTGGTCAAAGTCAATGTTTTGGTCAAAGTCAAAGTCAAAGTCAACCATCCGAGTTGACTCAACTCGTCGAGTCATCCCCCTGACTCGCCGAGTTCTATAAATCCAGAAATCCTGAAATCGCGATCCAACTCGTCGAGTCCCTTAGCAGACTCGCCGAGTTCTACCTTGTACAAAATCGGGACATAACATCATCAACTCGTCGAGTCCCTCTCTAGACTCGCCGAGTTCCTTAGTCTGTTTGGTTCAACTTAAAGGATTAAGCCCCTACTCTTCAGATCCAAACTCCATACTCTACCTACATACTGGAAATTCCTTTTTAAGGGTAAAGTTTCCAACTTTACCCGTTATTAATCCTTTTAAATGGGTTCAGCTAAAAACCCTAGTTCTTTAGGACATAGATATGTGTCCAAAAGCCTTATCACTCCAAACCAAAGCATGAAAACCCAGATCTAAGTCCTAGATACTAAAAGAACACGTAAAGCCACAGACTTTCCTTTCATGCATGGCCTTTTGGGGCTCAAAAGGCCATAACAACACCTTAGAGCTTGCATGGGGGCTTCAATGGCATAAAGTTTGCACCTTTATGCCTTAACAACCCTTAATGATCCCAGATCTACAAGGATCCTTGCTTGGGACGTCCAAATCCCAAGGGTCAAGCTTCTTGAACCAAAACCCTCAAAAAGTGGAAATAAGGAGATCTAATGAAGAAAGGATCAAGTTAGAGACTTGATTACTAGAAAGTGAAGGGAATGAGATGTTGCCTCTGGATCTACAATCTTCTCTTAGAGTCATTTAGCTTCTTCTTCTTCTACAAGCTTCAAATCACACAAGACCACTCAACAATGGCTCACACACTCACACAATGCTCTAGGGTTTCGTGGATTAGGGTTTGGGACTTAGAGGCTGGAAATGAGGCCAAAAGGTGGGGATTAAGATGCTTAAATAGGGTGCAAAACCCCGAAATTAGGGTTTCACTCTGGCAGACCTACTCGCCGAGTCGAGGCTCTCGACTCGTCGAGTAGGTAGCTTAAAACCCGCGTCTAAAACTCGTTTCTACTCGACGAGTCGAGGCTCCCAACTCGTCGAGTAACTCTATTAAAATGAATAAATTATAAATAAATGTGTGCCAGAAACCAGGCGTTACAAAAGCTCTCATCTTCAGTTTGACACTCTTCTGGACCGTTGTAAGTGTCCAAGATCTAATTTTTATTCCTCTATGTTGTTAGATCTTGAGTTTTGTCCCTTTTTCTTCTTATTCTTGGATGTTGCAATGGATGGATCTCATAAAGTTTGCAACTTTATGAATATCCAGATCAAGGTGACCTTGTAGCGGTTTGGATCTGGTCTTTAGCCAAGTTTTGATGCCATGCATGGGGTTTAGGTCATATTTTCCCCTTTTTGACCCATCTTGGGTTCAAGACATGCATTGGACATGCATGTCTATAAAGCACCAACCTTTGGGTTGATTTTGGTGCTAGAATCTCTTCTAGAAAGGGTGGGTTTCAGATCTCAAGGATTTTGTGCTTATTGGTTAACCCTTGAATCTTTAAACCTTTTGGTTAAGTTTTTGAGCACTTGGGGTAGCCCCAAAAGAATAAAGTTGGAAACTTTATCCTTTTGATAGCATTTGAGCTTAGATCTGAGGCTTGGAGTTCCTAAAATCGTAAGATCAGCTGAATGTATTAAGCTCGGGCAAACTCGGCGAGTTTGCAAGCCATCTCGGCGAGTTTGCAAGCCATCTCGGCGAGTTAGCAAGCCAACTCGGCGTGTTGGCTGGGATTTTCCCGATCTTCTGATTACGGTAGGAACTCGACGATTTTATTGGTGCACTCGACGAGTTGGGTCAACATGGACTGTTGGCATTGACCGTTAACTTTGACTTTGATCATGGTTGACCAAGTTTGACCTTGAGGGGTATTTTGGGTATTTTAGTATTTTGGGATTTTGATGGTTATGGTCATTTGGATTGGTAGGTATTGGTTGGAGCTGAGATTCGGAGTCAAGATCTCATCAGCTAAGGATCAGATCGAGAGCTGAGTCTTCTTCATTGTACTTGCGGGTCGAAGGTACCAATGTCGACCCATTGGATTGATATCCCGTTATGCATGTTGCTATGTTGTTATGATCTGTTAGATCGGTATCCTAATAGATAGGAGGATGTTATGCTTAGTGATCTGTTAATTCTGTTTGACTGGATGTAGACTGTTATATGATTATCTGTTATATGTGCACATGTCTGATTGGTGGCTGAGGCTTCTCTGCTTTGTGCGTAAGCCAATAGGCCTGCGTATTCCAGCCCGATGGTTGATTGAACCCATAATATGTTGGCATTCCAACCCGATGGTGGAGGGGCCTGGGGCATTCCATCCCGAGGATGATTGGCCCCATAGTATGTTGTTTGTCGTATATGTTATCTGTTGTGTGTTGGTACTCTGGGGGAACTCACTAAACTTCGTGCTTACAGTTTTGGTTTATGGTTTCAGGTACTTCAGTGGACCGTGGCAAGGTGAATGCGTGACCGTACACATCCTCGTGTTTTTGGGACTTATGATTTTGAGAAACTCTGATAATGAAAATGTATTGAAAACTATGTTGTAAACGATTCTAATTTTTAAGTAATGTTTTAGAAACAATGATTTTTGTAACTACCTCTTTAGTGAATGGGTTGTTTTAAAAAGTTAAAAAATTTGTTGAAATTTTCGGGATGTTACATAAATTTTAATTTGTAATTCAAGAAATTTAGGATATATATATATATATATATATATATATATATATATATATATATATATATATATATATATATATATATATATATATATATATATATATATATATACATCAAGAAAATGGCTAAAATGTTTGTGTTTCAGGAAGTAATAAGATAGCTTATTATTATACCATAGGGTTACTATCTATGTATATTTTAGTTTTAATATATATATTTCAAAATAACCTCTAAAACTAAAGCTCAGCCCAAGAAAAATCATCTACCCTAATATACGGTTATCCACTCCTTCTCTTCCTATCTCCCACGTCAGCATCTTCATCACCCCATCCATCTTTCATCTTCTCTAATATCCATCGTTGGTTGCTAAGTCATGGAAGACAGAGTAGTCATCGCACAACCACCGAACCTCAATCCATCCCTTATATATATCCATAGGCGGATCTACATTGGATCCCGGGATGCCCTTTAAAAAAATTAGTAGTATAAATTTTTCCGACAAATTTCGTTTATGTTCCGGTCCTTAATATAAATATGTTTAGTGAAAAAATAATTTGGTTCAGTTGGTTATGGTTATAGCATTATACGGATTTTATACATATTATATTATGATGTTGTAAAAATTAAACACAAGTATCGAGTCATCCAAGTGATAAAGTGCTGAAATTTTAACTTGGATGTCCTTATTCCGAATCTCGGCTTTGATACGGGTGTATTTTATTTTGTTTATCAGTTTCTATCCTATGTCCCTTCAACTTGTTTCTTATTTCTTATAATTTTAAAATTGTCCCACATCGGCCATAACATGAAACATAGCTCCTATACATTTGTTATATAAGCAACACAAACTTCTTAATTCTCAACAAGTTAAACTTTCGAATGGGTTTGGGTTTAAACCCGAAACCGAGTTTGGAAAACTGAAAATCCAAAAAACTGAACTCAACGGTTTGAGATACCTATTTACTTTGACCCTGGCTCCGCCACTATATATATATATATATATATATATATATATATATATATATATATATATATATATATATATATCACTCCTCTTTAAATAGAAGATGAAGTAGGCATTGCTTTTGTATACATTGAAGTAGGATTCGGTTCTTGGGACCCTCGTTTACCCACTGGCTCACGTTATTACCCATAAGATACATGATTCGACCGATTCACGATTTAACTCGACTCGGTACGAGTCAGACATGAACTCATAAATTTTGACTGAGTCACATCTAAAGCCGAGTCATACTCAAAGTCAATTCTTTTCTGGTATGAAATGACTTGATTCGTACGAGTTTAACAACTATGATGGTAACTAAATTAAATTTTGTAAAATTGTTCTTTTGTGATATATACTAATAAAACTAACTTATAAATTAATCTTTGTAAAAGTATAAACGGCTAAAGAGTTAAGATGCTACTATACGTATCCTCCTCGTTCGTATAAACTGCAAAATTATGGAGGTACGCATACACAATTCCACTCAAGGAGGATACACAAAACATTAGGGGTAAGTATAGAATTTTCAAAAAAGTTAACCTCTACAAGTGAATACATCGTGTCGCGCGCAATACTTGCATGATATTACCCCCGACATGATGTGACTTTTATACCCAAGTGCCACATTATTTTAATGTGTTTATTTATTGCAACATTTATTTCAATCTTACCAAGGTTTCTGCTGGAAAATACCTTAATATGGTTTCTCAGCTAGCTGCCTATATAAATGTTGATATTGAGTCGTATAAACACACACAAACACAGTGAGCATTAAAGGATGCTTGTGATATCGGCATGCCTTTTGGCTCTATCTCTATTATACCTCTTCTATAAACTTATTGATAAAAGAATAAGTCAATCATGTTACATCTTGCATTATGAGTGCTTCAAGCCTACGGAGGACCGGAAAGTCTCCACTGAATTTTCAGGGAAAATGATCAGGAAATGCAAGAATTTGGGAATCGAAGACTACCAATTTTTGTTACGAGCAATTGTTAGCTCGGGTATAGGTGAAGAAACTTATGGCCCAAGAAACTTCTTCTTAGGCCATGGAACTAACTCAAGTCTCAACGACAGCCTACATGAAATGGATGAGTTCTTTTCAGAAACTCTAGATAAGCTGTTCAGTCGATCTAGAGTTTCACCACAAGACATTGACATATTGGTTGTCAATGTCTCTGTGATGGCTTCAGTGCCATCACTAACGTCTCGTATCATCAACCATTACAAGATGAGAAACGATATCAAATCTTTTAATCTGTCAGGAATGGGATGTAGTGCGAGTTTGATCTCTATAAACATCGTCCAAAACATGTTCAAGACTCATCGAAACAAATTGGCTCTTGTCTTAACTTCAGAGTCGATCGCACCAAGCTGGTACAACGGCAACGAGAGGTCCATGATCCTCACCAACTGTTTGTTCCGTTGTGGAGGTGCAGCAGTGCTGTTAACAAACAAAAGAGGTCTACAAAAGCAATCCATGTTCAAGCTAAAGTGTCTGGTTCGAACCCATTTGGGATCAAGCGATGAAGCTTACACATGTTGCAGGCAACAAGAAGATGACAAAGGCCATGTAGGGTTTTTCCTAGGGAAAACATTACCAAGAACAGCAACACGAGCTCTAACCGAAAACTTAAAAAATATAGCACCAAAGATATTGCCATTAACGGCTCTATTTTGTTTCATTTTGATAGCAAATATCCAGAAATTTGGTGCTAAGTTTTTGCATATTAGGGTTAAACGAAAGGTCATTTTGAACTTCAAGTTGGGTGTGGACCATTTCTGCTTGCACCCAGGTGGGAAGGCGGTGATTGATGGGGTTAAGCAGAGCTTAGGGTTAACTGAAGGTGATATGGAGCCATCGAGGATGACTCTACACAGATTTGGGAACACATCTGCAAGTAGTTTGTGGTATGTTTTAGGGTACATGGAGGCAAAGAAGAGGTTGAAGAAGGGAGATCGGGTTTTGATGATCGGGTTCGGATCCGGGTTCAAGTGTAATAGTTGTATGTGGGAGGTATTGAGGGATTTGGATGATAAGAACGTTTGGGAGGATTGTGTTGATAACTTTCCACCAAAATCGTTAACTAATCCTTATTTAGAGAAATACGGATGGATTAATGACGACCCATGGATACCACCACCTGAAATTGTTCAAGCTTTCGCATCAATCGAATCAGGAGATTGAGTTCAATTCTGACGTTTGGATATATAAAAATATGTACAGAGTTTGTGTTATAATTTCACTAATTAAGTTAAAGTTATGTATCTCCGAAAATAGAAATTCGTTTAGTAGAGTTTCTTTTTATGTGTAATTTAATTTGTATTTAGTTAAAGTTTAGTTACAATCTTTAGAAGATTGTGCCGAGGAAAAAAGATGCATATACGATATAATTTGTTTTTTTTTTAAAGTATCATATAGACGTACAAGTTTATTGATAAATGTACTTTTATAGGGTACAAATGTCTTACACTAATATATCATGTGATAAAACTCTGGGTATTATATATTTAAGATTTGTATCATATAAATAGATGTCTGCTTTAATTTTGTGTTGTCATTTTTTAAGTATTGATTTTTAAACAAATACTTAATTAATTTTATCTTAATTAAAAAACATGGTAAAACTCACCATTTGGATAGTCCACGCCGGCCCGCTACCAGACTATAATATTTAACGTAAACTAGTGAAAATAAACCCGTGTTTTGCATCGGGTTTGTATATGTTTGCTAAACAATAGACATTTTTAAGGATGTCAAAAAGTCTTATGGGACCCCGATCCTGTGGGGACCCCGTCCCTTACGAGGGTATTTGCTGAAAAAAAAATCAGGGGGGGCATGGTTAACCCCGTTTTAATTTTGGGGGTGGGGGAGGGGGTTGGTAGTCCCGTCCCGAAACCCCCATGGGCCCCCGTTAATAAATTATATACATTTACATATATTAGTTGTATAACTATAATAAACAATAGAACGATTTTTACATACCAAAATTCAACAAAAAAACATGTTTTTAAGTTGTTTGTAACATGTAGAATTATGTTATAAATAACTATTTGTTACCCAAAAAACAGTTTCTTTTAGCCCAAATAAAAACTTCTTTTAGCCCAAATAAGGTAGCCCAAAACCAATCGGGGGCGGGGGAACGGGGGCGGGGGTAAAGGGGAAGGGGAATTCGTGGGCGGGGGCGGGGGTGGAAAGGATGGAGATTTCGGGGGCGGGGGAATGGGGGAATTTTGGGGGCGTGGGCGGGGGATGCAATCCCCGTCCCGTTTGCCCCCGTTGACATCCCTAAACATTTTCCAAAATTTAAATTATAGGGGTGTGAAAGTAATAAAATCTGGATTTTCTGCTTGTAAGTTGTTATTATGATATCCCGTTTTTATGTCTTCCAATTACAACATTATAGTCGGGAAAAAGATAGGCTATTTGAGAATACTTAGAAAATTCAAAAGTAAAATGCTATAATTGATCATACCATATGTTTATTGTAGTCTCCATCTTAAAAAAACCAACATAACGTTATTGTTTAAAATAATAATTATAAATGATAATATTGGAAGGTGTCAAGTATAATAAGAAAGTATTAGAATATCGTACTTTGAAATTATATATATATATATATATATATATATCTATATATATATATATATATATATATATATATATATATATATCACGTTCTTTTGAGAACCAAAAGATTTGTGAGAAATTATGAACTTATAATCCACTCATCATTTTTTCAACACTAAAAAACACAAATTTTCTTCAAATTGTGCGTTTAAGTCATATCTAGGCTAAAAAAAATTCGTTTTTTTGTATGAGTGTTGATGAGCACAATCAACAGTCATATGGACTGCTGATGAGCACAATCAACAGTCATATGGACTGCTGATGAGCACAATCAACAATCATATTGACTGTTGATGAACACAATCAACAATCAATATGGCTGCTGATTGTTCACATCCGCAGTCCATATGACTGTTGATTGTGTTCATCAGCATTCCATACGACTGCTGATAATTGTGCATACATGCAAATTTCAAAAATAAATAAAAAAAATCATCAATTTTTTTAGCCTAGATGTCTTAGACGCACCATTTTGAGAAGATTGATGTTTTTGGTTTTGAAAAGCGATGAGTTGATTATGAGTTCACAAGTTCACACGTTTTTTTTAGTTCTCACAATAATTAAGCCATATATATATATATATATATATATATATATATATATATATATATATATATATATATATTAAAGCAAAAAGCCTTAAGGAATAGTAAACTTTGATTGCTTCAGACTTTTGACACAAAAGTTTTAGATTCAGACATTGACCACATAAATTTTCATATATTGGCAATTTTCGTCCTTTATTTGCCACTTTTTAAAATTTACACCCATCTGCAAAGCTCTTTTCCCTCTTTTGTTCGTTTGCATTTGTTTTTCTGCTAAAAAAATTAACGAGTCATCGGGTTCCTCTGAATACAATCCACGTGTTTTTCTCCCACCTGTTCCACCGATTTCCCACTGCCTCCTGTAGATCGATTTCACTATTTATCTCTATCTTCTCAATTTTTTTTCATATTTTCTCCTAGATGCTTCTGCTTCTACTCCCCACAAGAATCGGTTGACGATGAATCTCCACTATTCTCTCCTATCGTTATCGTCGAATTTACCATAAGTGTTTTAGAGCTCCACTTCTCTTCTAATCTCTTTAGTTCTCCCTCTACTCGAACCTGTTTTTCCCCAAACCATATGGAGAAAAAGCCCTACCCAGATCGGTTTTCTGCTCAGCCTCACCAGTAAACCACCATCGCCTTAGTTGGAACACAAAGATCTCATTCAAGGTAAGCAATGTTATCAAACCCTAAACCTCATACTCATATGGATTTCAGTTCTAAGCCTCACTCTTGCTTTTTCGTTTGGATTTTGTTGATATTAGGCAATGTTTGGTCGGGAATAGATTTTAGGTAGAAATACGATAGCCCTTCTAAACCTCATATTCCGAAATATCACTCTACACTCAAGGTAATCAACGATTTCAAGCCCTAAACCTCACTCTTGATCTCTATTTAAAACCCTAAACCTTAGTCTTCCATTTCTGTAATTGTAGGAACTTGATTCGTTTTGATTACTAATTTGATATAATTTTTTTTTTATCATATAGATGGTGGGAACAATGCATCAGAAAATTAATATGAGGAAGACAAGCTTAACACCAGTAACATACGGGTTTGGGTAAGGTTTGCCTTTTTTTTAGTAATTTTGTTCATTAAATTCTAGGGGTTTTGCTGTGAAATTTTTGGGTTTATTCATTATCATCTTGCTTACAAAGCTTTTCTGGTATAAATCTACTATGGAATTAGAGTTAATGAGCATTATTTAATTAAAATGGTTTCTTGAAATTGTTTCTCTTAATTACAGCTTGACTTTTATATGTAGATGATTTATCTGTACCAAGGCAAGGTTAATTCAACTTTTTAATGGGATAGTTGCTGTGTGCAAGGAATTTACTTACTTATGAAATATAAGTCAGGCATTTTCTCTTTATAGTGAATTTTCTTACTTATGAAGTTAATTTTCATAATGTTAGAAGCTTACAATCGAACACATTGACTAGAAAAATGCCTTTGGAGCTTGGTAATCTTAAGAAATTTAGTCCTTATTTTGAAATTTCCTAATGCTTTAAGTACCTGTGTTGTTTAAACTAACAACCTAACTATTAAATTTTGGGTCCAAGGATATAATGCTCATTTTAAAAGGTTTAACAGTCATGTTGTTAACTTGATCATTTTGTTGCTAGTGGAAACAGTCATGTAAGTTGGAAAGGGGTAATTCAGTAGAATGGTGTTTTCCTTCATAATTCCAGATAAAGTAAGAAATAGGGTTCTTATTCTGATTTATGGGTTGGATTTCACTACTTTAGAATTGTTATTTGTAACATTCAGAACCTTGTAAGTTCCCCTTTTACCCTTGCTAAAGAAAATCCTTGCATTTTGTTCCTCTGGCTAGTACGCGGGGCGTACTCTATGAGTACTCTTAGCGTACTAGCTAGATCATGATCGGGGGCATCGACCACGTACGCTGGGTGTAACGCCTCAAAAATCACGACCAATTTAAACTTTTTAAAAGAACCCATTTACTATTAAAAGTGTTTACAAAACCATTGTTTCCAAAATATTATTTAAAGTCGAAGTTTCCCAAGATCAACAACATAAAATCGGGATGTGTGCGGTCACGCATTCACCTTCCCATGATCCTTGGAAGTACCTGAAACCATAACCCAAAAATTGTAAGTCAACGCTTAGTGAATTTCCCCCAAAGTACCACCACATAAACATAACAAACAACAACATGCATACATGAGCCTTCAACCTGACTGGACCGTCTCGCAGGGCCTTCAGCCTATCTGTATCTGGACCGCTCCCGAGCGTTCGGCATGATTGGACCACCTTACAGGGCCTACAGCCTATCCGGACCGCTCGCCAGGCCTTTGGCCTGACTGGACCACCTTGCAGGGCCTACATTCTATCCGGACCACCCCGGGTATCTTGTCACACCCCCAAACCAGAACGGCGGAAACATTCGGGGGCGGAGGACATCATGTTTAGTATCACACCACATGCATCATAGTAATCAAAGTAACAAACAACCATTGCATTAATATTAAAGTGTTTTACAAAGTATGTGATTCACAAAAGATTGATGTCAAGTAAATAACGAAACAAGACATGAAGCTACTATGCTCCATCTTCTGAAACACAGTGCGCGAACCTGTCTACTAGTCTCCTGCGAATACAAGTTATTTTGAAAGAGTATATCAGCATTTAAGCTGGTGAGTTCATAAGTATTTTAGTGATGTAAAGTAAGTTGTAAGTTCTTTTTAGAAAAGTTCGTCTGTTCCTCCAGAAAATCCTATATTTTCTGATATGATGAATGAAAGTAAGAATGACTCTATAATTTCTTCTATGAGTACTAAATAGATACAAGTTATATATAATTTAGAGTAAACAGACAATCGATTGTGTGAATCTGCCCTAAGCCCACAATCAAACAAGGAACAGGGAATGAGGCGGAAGTCACGCATCCCATTTATTGTTAGATCTTCACTGTATATAACCCTGGTGTATTCATCTGGTACTTACGGAGTTAACTGTAACAGTTCTTTATATTTGATGAAAACATTC